CATCTTTGTCACATCAATTTGCATATTTCCTCCTTATTGGCTGTGGGCACCACCATTTTTATCACAAAGTGATGGTTAATTTGCATATTACTCTTTTATTAGATAGGATACTAGTATATAGAACAGGGGTGGGCAAACTTTTTGACTTGAGGGCCACAATGGGTTCTTAAACTGGACCGGAGGCCGAAACAAAAGCATGGATGGAGTGTTTGTGTGAACTAATATAAATTCAAAGTAAACATCATTACATAAAAGGGTACGGTCTTTTTTTTTTTTTAGTTTTATTCATTTCAAACGGGCCGTAGTTTGCCCACGGCTGATATAGAAGGTATTTCCAACAAGATTTGCTGATGAATTTCATGTAAAGTATGAGTGAAAGAGAGAAGCCCTGGCTGGTTTGGCTCAGTGGATAGAGTATCAGCCTGTGGACTAAAGGGCTCCAGGTTTGATTCTGGTCAAGGACATGTAACTCAGTTGCAGGCTCAATCTCTGGCCCTGGTCGGGGCCTATGTGGGAGGCAACCAATCAATGTGTCTCTCTCTCCCACCCTCCCTTTCATTCTCTCTAAAAATCAATGGAAAGATATCCTCAGGTGAGGATTAACAAAACAAAAAAGAATTATCCCAAGATTTTTGACTTGTGCATCTGGAAGGATGGAGTTGCCCTTTACAGAAATGGGAAGACTGTAGGAGCTGACTTGGAGAGAAGATTTAGGGTCTGATTTTAGACATGTCAAGTTTGAGCTATCTTTTATACCAAATCAAGTAAGAGATGGAAAGATGAGTTAGAATCCAGAGAGATCTAGGCTGACTAGGAGAGTTACCAGCATAGGTAAAGCTATGATGCTTAAGATCTCCTAGGGAGTGAGAGGGAAAATGAAATTGAAAACTGGGCCAAAGAACATTATAGCATTTAGAGGTAAGAGAAGTAACTGGCAAAGAAGATTGAGAATGTCAGGGCAGAGAGAGAGAGTTATGTATCCTGGAAGCCAAGTTAAAAAAACAACACAATTTGAGAAGGCAGGAATGATTAATAATTAGCTATGTTAAGTGCTGCTGGAGGGCCAAGTAAGATGAGGGTAATTGACCATTGGATTTAGCAACATGTTGGTCATCAGTTACCTTGACAAAAGTTAATAAGGGCAAAAGCCTGGTTTTAATGGAATCAAGAGAGAATGTGAGACTTACTGGAATTTATATAAAAGTATGTCTCTACAAATATGAAACAACATATGCACAAAGTTATTCATTGTGACATTATTTGTCTTAATTACATATCTATTGGAAATAATCTAAATGCTTATCTATGAAAAACTACTTGAATGGTACATCTACACAGTAGAGTACCATTTAATCATAAAAAAGAATGAGGGGCCTGGCCAGTGTGGCTCAGTGGTTGAGCATCAACCTAAGAACCAGGTCACAGTTTGATTCCTGGTCAGGGCACATGCCCAGGTTTCAGGTTCAATCCCCAGTGGGGACATGCAGAAGGCAGCTGATCAAGGATTCTCTCTCATCATTGATCTTCCTCTCTCTCTCTCTCTCTCTCTCTCTCTCTCTCTCTCCCTTTGTCTCTGAAATCAATAACAATATATTTAAAATACATATGTATATATATTTATAAATTAATTAACTAATAAAAAATGAGGAAGATTTCTGTGAACTAAAATGAAAGATTTACAGGAAAAACTCAGTAGCAGTATTCAGATCATGGTTTCTAACTACCAGTCCCTCCTAAATGGAACCCCAGACCAAGATTCCTTAGAGAAATGGCCGATGTTAAGTCTGGGGCAAGGAAAGTGAAAAATGAGCCTCAAGTAGATCTTGTGCCATAAAGCAAGGAACTGTACAAAACTACTGGAAACATGCCAAAAGAACATAAGAGCTGGTGTGAAGGGGCTCCCA